TAAAGTTACATGTCCATACGCATAATGTACAAGTATATTAATGCGTTAATTTCAAATTTTAATCCCTCTAATTTGTATTATCCATCACTTGCAACCTTCTTTTTGTAAAATCATCTTTTCCATCCCATTATTTTTGTAAATATCATTTTCACCCCCTTCGCCTTGAACTTTATAAAATATCATTTTTACCCTTCCGTTTTCTAAACTTTCGTGTTTATCCTTCGTCCCGTGGTATTATGATTTTATCCCTCCACTTCGTAAAATGCATTTTTCACACCTTCTATTTTTTTAAATGTTACTTTGACCCCCCTCAAATTATAACTTTGTAAAATGTCATTGGTGTAATCAAAACATGTAAAACGCAAGCTCGGTTATTAGTTTCTATCAATGTTCTAAAAAACACGTCATGGGTCTGCCATGACACGTTATAGCTCTAAAACTTGTATTTGCCGCCAAACTTTGACAAAATGTCGTCTTAACTCACATATGAATAGGTCTGACAATGAAGCGGGTTTTGACCCTGATCCGATCCATACCCTTAACAATTATATGGGTTTAAAGCGTAGTTTTTGATCTATTTACCCATTAACGACCCGTACTCGCTAACCTTTTATTAAAAGGATCGGGTATGGATCATCACCGATCCGCTCCGTTTATAACCCGCCCCATATAAGATTTAGAAATATAAATTTATATTTTATATTGCCTAAAGTTTACATTAAATTCCAATCAGAAGTTCAAAGAGAAAAGCCCAAAGACTAAATGATTTTTACATAGGACTCGAGGACTCAACTTCTAGACTTCCAGTATTCTCCTAAGAGTCTTGATTTCATTTCATTTATATTTCATCATGTCATCACCAATTTCATTTATAAATCAATAAGGTCATTTATCAACCGGAAGAAAGTTTGTAATTGCTATTTTCTATCAATGCAATCGACGGTCAAAAACCAATCGGAAGAAACTAAAATAATTATTTTAATTCCAATAGAAAGTTCTCGAGTACATAATGTGTTTTCTAAATAAAAACTTAGTTTTATTTAATAAATGTGATTTTATGATTTAAGTAAAATGTGTTTAATTATTCAAAAAACCTACAGGTTACGGGGCGGGTTTGGATATTTGTTGATTCGGTGGATAAGGGTATGGGTTTGATTACTCAAAACCGTGCGGGTTACGAAGCGGGTTTGGATCGGATTTTGAAATTTGTTAAAAGGGTTTGGATCAAGTTCGATTCGCTCCAAACCCGCCTATTGTCAGGTCTACATATGAATATAAAAATCAATAATAATAGAAAATATATATGAAATTATTAATTATATACAAAATTGTCACTTTAAGTCATAGAGTTAGTCCGTTCATTTTGAGAACCATGTGCGAAAAATAAAAGTAGACCTACATTAATAGAAATATATATATATATATATATATATATATATATATATATATATATATATATATATATATATATTTATATGTATGAGCGAAATTTATTAATAGAAATTAAGGTGGGTTAAGATGAGATATAAGAAAAAAAGTGAGAAGAAGAAAAAGAAAAAAGTAGAAACTGATTAATATGTTAAAAATGGGGATGCTAATTGAACCTTGGTGCATTAGATGGAAAGGAGTAAGAAAATATATTAAAAATAGGGAAAATGATTTGCAAAGATAATTATCTTTTGGTTTTGTTCATGTTAGGTAACTTCATTTTTTTTACATATTTGACTATTTAACTTATTAAATGTGTTCACATATTACTATTGTCACCTGACAATGATAATATGTGAATACATTTAACAAGTTAAATGGTCAAATGTGTATAAAAAAAGTTGCCTAAATGTGAACAATTTTTTTTTCTTTTACAAATTTCTTAAATATTTTATAATTTCTTACAACATTTTTATGATATTTTTTCCTATAGGTATTTCTAATACAATTTTTTAAACTTAATTATCATTTTTTTTTTAACTTTTTTATACTTTTATATAATTTTAATACAAGTGCTTTTAAATCAAATATTTTATAAATATTAAAAAAAATCTTATAGGTTTTTAACTTTTTTTTTTACATTTTCATACAGTTTTTTTATAGCTTTCATACATTTATTTCTAAACTTTCTTTTACAACATTTTTAAAGTGTTTTAAAGATTTTGTATGACAATTTAATATTTTTCATAACATTTTAAAATACTTCAGTTAAATATTAGTTTAAAATGTTGTATTAAAAAAGTTAATAGTTCATAAACTTCTAATTAAAAAGTATCAAAAAGTTTGAATAATTTTAAAACATTTACATAATATCGATTTTTGTTTGTTTTTTATTTGATAGGTAATATTTTCTCTTAATTTTTATTAAAAGATCATCCTTACTTATTGTTATATATGCTTAAAAACAAAAGAAAATATTTGTAAGCGGCTATATAAAGTATTTCACAAAACAAAAACATATTTATTAATTAAAAAGTAAAGTTTAAAATTGATCAATATTTAATTAATATTTTATGAAATTATGGATATTTTAAAAATAATGTTTGAAAAAAATAATATAAACAAATATAATAAATAAAACCGCTATTAAAAATGAAGAAAATGACTTATCCGAGTAATTAACTTTTTGTTTTGTTCACATTTTACTAACTTTTTTTTGTACACATTTAACCATTTAACTTATTAATTTACTCACATATTATCATTGCCATTTGTTATATCCGATGATAATGACAATATGTGAACACATATAACAAGTTAAATGGTCAAATGTATACAAAAATAAAGAAGTTATCTAAATATAAACAAAACGATAAAAATAATTATACTGGTAAGGTATTTTCCCTTAAAAATAAGACTATCAGGAATTCAACCTAGATCCTTAGAAAGAAAAAAGAAAAAACCAACGGAAACAACCATTGGCCAAGCGAAGTGCGCACTAATTTTGCATATTTTTTGATAAAACAAAATCATATATAAACAAATTAATAATAAATAAATAAAATCGAGAACTTGAAAGGAATCAAACATTGGTTGTCTTGAAGGGTCTTGTAAAGGGAGGGCAACTTCTTGGCTACATAATCTTGTCATTGCTTGTAATTTGTTGTTACTTTAATTTGTTGTAATTTTCTTTTTCTAGTTTATTGTTAGGTTTTCTTTTAAAAAAAATTCTATAGTTCAAAAAAAAACTTTCTCCAGCTAACTAAAACTCAATTTTGTAATTTTTTACGTAATATATTATATATTAACAAATTAAATATATAATTGGCTCGGACCCTATTTTTTTCGGAAGCACTGTAAAGTTGCACATCTTGCACACAGACACCCTTAGGGCCGACTCTGTAATAATTCACGTATTACGTTATTTAGAATATTGGTTTCTACTAACCATAAAACATAGTCATGCAATATAACCATAGCCAGGGCCGTATCAGATGGTACGACAGCATAGACGATAGTTCAGTGCCTCCAAATTTCCGGGGCCCATTTTTATGTATCTATTTATGTTATTTGAAAATTAAAAAAGCTTTTAGTATTAAGTCGTCGCATGTAGAGGCAAACATTTTTTATTTTGTCAAATACAATGCCCAGTTCAATCTTATTATGGCAAATACAATCATGTTTAGTGTCGTGTATGAAATGTTATCTAAAATATACTGTCACTATCTTTTACAATTTTACCAATATGAAAAATATTTACAAAATGCCCAACTTATATTGAAAATATGTATTTTAGCATTATCCAGTCAACCAACCAGTTCCAAGCTAAAAGTAAAAAATTTGCAGCCAACAAAATAATTTTTCATAAAACGGTCTTATACGATAAAATATATTTCATGCTATAAAATATGTTTTTCTCATGCGAAAATACATAGCATATAGCATAAGTGCATAACCTTCACACCAACCTTAAGTAGAGCGTAGATGTGAACAAGTTGGCTTCCATTTGGTCTTATTTGAAGCCCACTAAGGGGTAAGGGTTTGGTTAAGTTCGGCTTGTTGCGATTATTTAAATACAATTCGCTCGAAATTCACAAAATTGATTTCTAATATTTTTCAGAATTTATCTTTTTGTTGCGATTATTTAAACCGAAAAACAATCCCCGAATTTCAAGAAAAAAAATTCTTTTTTAACTTAAATTTACCAAAAAGATAAAACAAATATGGAAATGCCCAAATATTTTAGATCAATTTATGGTTTAATCTCAGTTTTTATTTTTTTTAATTGAAACGTCTAAATAATTAACGAAACAGTCTTTATTTTTTTCAACATAAAATGACATATTGTTATATAAAATTAGATAATCAAGTGGTTTTTGTTTAAAAATCAATGTTAGGATTAAACCATAAATTAACCTACAATATTGGGATTTTATCCTAAATTTTCCAAACAAATATAGTAAATATAAACATATATGATATTAGTGTATAAAATCACACATTTTATTAAAAAACAGTAATTCCGAAATTTAAAAATCAAACCAAGAACGGAGCATTTTATTTAGAAAAAAAAAAAGTTTGAATTGTGAAGATTAGTCTGGAATGAAATATTTTAGAGATTGTAGTCATTTTTCAAGAACAAAAAAAATGTTCATTTTTTCTAAAAAACTCTCTTTTATATATGCTAGAATTTCCCTTCAAAGAAACACCTATTTAACTGATTTCATGTTTTTATATTCCATAACTCAAAAACAATAAAAATAAGTGCATCCAATTGTTCTTTGCAAACAATTTACAACTTTTATACAAATATTCAGAAAGTGTGAATCTTAATTTCAAGAGGGAACTTAGAAATTATACCACTTGCTCATAAATACAACATATAAATCAAGAGCACAAACTTTGTTTTACAATTTATACACACAAGATAATGCATCCAACTATATTCAACACATTTAATCTAAAAATCATATCCATCAATTATAAAAATGAAGTCAAAAACTACAAACAAATATTTCACCACAAAGCATACCTACCAAACAATAAATTACATAAAGATTACCTTTTTAACTTCTTTTCTTTTATAAAAGAGGTTTCTTCCACTTTAACAAATTACAAAAAATTTCTTTTTTTTTTTTTTGCCACTACCAAAAACTATACACAACTTCACTATAACTAATTAACTATATTAGAAAGGAACAGTATACGGCAATGCATATAAATCTGCCTCCACTAAGAACCTCGCACATGGCTGCCACGTCATCTCCCGACATGTCTCCACATCATCCTTCATCGTTGACCTGGCAACTCTTGTCTCCCTCCTCCCCAACAACCAATCATCACCACCATCATCAGCAACCACCTGAGCTTCAAGAACAGGTGGGACCCAACTCCCTATCAACTTTTCATACTTCAAATGCTTCTTCTGCAACTTCTTCTCAAATCTTGTAGTAGGGCCCACATTCAATGGAATCTCACTGATTGGATCTTTTTTCTTCTGCAATTTGATTTCATCAGTTGACATTCTTCCTGAACTAGACACCATTGATGCATCAAGCTTTCTTGAAACAGATGGAGCAGAAGGTGGAATTGGAGATGGAGATGGAGTTGGAATCACATTTTCCGATGGTTTTCTGTAACCTGGAATTGGAATTGGTTGCTGTTGTCTAGATGAATGAAGCACTGCCACGTCACCCTTTCTTGAATGTAATGAAAGGGGTGCGGATTGTTTTCTATCATAGCTTGTTGATGTAGCAGGGATTCCAGACTTTCGGTTACTTGAAACTGGAACTGGAATTGGAATTGATGTTCTTTGCCCATTAACGGAATTGGAATTAGATTGTTGATCAAATCTCCCAGAAATAGAACATGAAGTTTCTTTGATGGAATCAGGTCCTTTCTGCTTCTTGAATAATCGAATCTTGATTGGTTTCACTATTGAAAGACGCCTTTCAAGATTAGTCAAAAGAGAACACAAAAGGGTATTTTCGTCAAAGAGAATCAAACTAACCATGATTAGAGTCATCGGGAACAACAGGATCATCTCTTTTCCTTTTGTTACTGTTCTGAGTGCTGTCTGATGAGTAACTTGGCTTGTGAGAGTCAACGGGTTGACTATGTTCTTCAGTTAAATCACTCTTTTCCAACTGCTCAATTGTATCCTCTTTTCTCTTGATGTTTAATGGTGGGAACTGTTTAGAATAGGAATCTTGTTGACTTTCATTTGGGTTCTTTTGTAGCTTTGACTTCTCTGAGTCTTTTCTTTTTTCTTTTTTTTCTTTCTTCTCTTTCTTTGCCCTCTTCTCCTTCTTCCTTTCTGATTTGGCCTTATCGGTTTCCTTCTGGAGCTTTAATTAAAGCACCAGAGCAACAAGTTTAGAACCATTGCTAACAAGGGACAACATTGGAACAAAAAGAGACCTCGATAGCAACATAATATGTTGTACAAACAAAACTTGTGACGATGCTTTTCTACATACAAGACCAAAATCTTTACAAGACATACCCACAATTCGCCTAGAAACTAGAAAGAAGAAATACTTTTCATTTGTTGACATTTCAATTTCACAAACAAAATCAATCTGAATATAAATTATCTTTTAAAGCTTCTCAGAAGTCAAAGTGACTTTAACATAGAAAGCTAACCCCACTACAGTGTGTAGTAAATAAGACAATTGGTAAGAAATGAAATGCTCAGCAAACCAGATGGAGTTTTACAGACAAAAGAGAACATGCAATTATTATGTTTTCTTAGTAAAATTAACAGCATGCTTGAAACCATTTAGTTAAATGCTTCTTTGGTAAATGTTCTACAAGCTATTAACACGGGTAGTGCTACATACCACTGGAATACAGATTTTGTTTTTCAAAGTGTCCTAAAACAAACCCTTAAAGCTGTATTATAACAAATATAGCCTAAAGACCACTAGTAATTAACAATGTAATCAATGCTACTCACTCACAATTGGGGAATATAAACATCCCCAGTATCCTTAAGACTTGCAATTTCATTTCCCAGAAAGAATTCAAGGGTTGCTTACATTACTCAGTTCTAACATCTGGTATCCAATCTTTCTTAATCATAACCTTAAAGGGCGAACTCTCACTCCTATTGTAAGGCAACATCATGTCAACGCCGACAAAGGGATACTAGACTGTGTACAATACTTGGGTCAAAACCTAGTTCAATTACCAAATTCACTTACAAAATCAATAAGTACCCCGTTTTCACCGTAGGCAGAACCTTAACTCCTCTAAGAAATCACTAAAACTAACCGACAATAATCCATCAATTAAACCATGATACTATTCTATTAGATAACCTATTATCATCTTCCTCAACCGACGAAATGATTCAATCAACTTTTGATAAACACATATTCACATCCTAAAACACATACTCTTCTGGTTCCTCATAGAGTAATAACATGTACAACATACACATCGACTCAGTTCAGATGTACATAAAGAGACACGACCCTTTTTTTTCGCATGTATATCATAGAAATACAACAGATCTCAAAAGTTCATTCTGAACAAACCTTAATCGATTCGATCAAGGCCTCATATGTAGCTCCGTTCCTACTATAACCAGGAGGAGGGTACGGAAAGCACCGAGACATCCTCGATTGATTCCTCAAAGATCGAATCGAAAGGATATAAGACACAAAAATCCTCCTAAAACCAAGAATAGAGATCAAATCGATGGGTTTATTAGACGTAGTAACGATCTAAAGAACCCGAGTGGAGAGATCTCTCGCGCCCCAATTGTATTTTGAAACTAGGGTTAGGGTTTCGACGGCGAGAGCTTCCAGAGGGGATCTGGAGATTGAAAGTTTGCGTAATGGGATTGTTCTAAAGGGTGAGGCGCTATTTATATGGGCAGATCCACCGACCTTTTAGAGGCTTAGACGCGTAATTTCCACCTTGGGCCTTCTTTTGTGGGCCTGATTATTTTGAGGGCCCACTTTCTTTGTGTAATATGTACGCAATGTTAAACTTAAAATCAATTATTACCATCTTATTTTCAAGTTTAATAAAATTTGTATAATATGATGTAACTTTTAGAAATTAATAATATGTCAAAATGAATGAAAAAACATGTTTATTTATTTATTAGTGTTCAGAAATGTTATAAGTGTACTTTATGGTCTGTATGGTTGAACGAGATGAAATAATCATGAAATTGACCAAGTAATGGATTTGCAAAAAATAATGGAATGTATCATTGTCATTCCTTCGTTTTGTTTACCTTGTTGTAATGGAATGAATCATTAATCTGTGTTGTTTGGAGTGGCGGATCTAATGTAGAGCCCGGGGTATCCCGGGATACCCCTCAATTTTTATCCAGTAATGTAATTTTTTTTTGGAAAATTTTGCTTTACATGTTAAGCGATAAAATAATCTGAAAATCATGGATAAAATCGAAAGAATCATTGACAAAATCAAAACCGCATGACATTTGGAAACTAATTAAGTTAAGAAACTATCTCTTAAATTCTAAAAAGTAAACCAAAAATCTAATTAGAGATGCAAATTTCTTAACCCAAAGATGGATGAAAGCTTCAATTAAGGCTTCAATTAAGCTTATTAATCCCAAGACGGTTATTAGAGAAAAACCTATGGTTTACTGTGTCTCATCGAAGTAACGTTGCCGCCTGTCGTCCAACTGTGTCTTCCCCACCGGTCACTGTCACCAATCGCCGTATCACTCCGTGGTCGGACCGTGGTTTTTCCGCGTGACTCTGTTTTCTTCGTGTTCGCCAGCCCTTACCGATAATCTGATATCCTCTTCACCCTTCGGTCTCCACAAAAAATTAATAATAGTCTGGTATTGTTTTTCTTGTTTCGTTTCTCTCTCTTTACTATGTTTCTCTTTCTTTTTACTGTCTATCTCTTTCTTTTATGTTTGATAGAGTGTAAGATTAGATATAGTCATATAGATGCTGACAAGTTACTTTATCAATGATAACATTTGTATATATTTAAAAGTAACTTCATTTCTATGAAGAAAGAAAATGAAAAGAAAACTATTTTTTTCTAATAGATTACCAATGATATTAAAATAAAAAACAGAAATACAATTTATATTGACGATTATAAAAGTTATGATAATCTAATTGATACATTTTAACTAAATCAGAAGAAAAAAAATATTCGTATTTTACGGTTTTACTTTTTTGTTTGTAAACCATAACCCTAAAGACTAGATTGCACTTCACAACCTCCTATTGATATTATTTATTTATTTTTAGACTTGTAGTAATGTACTGTGCAATAGACATATGTAAGCAATTAAACACTAAAATAAATATACTTGTATATTAGTATATAATGGAATTATATACTGTGCATGTGAGCTTCACACTAAATGACGTGTCATATTTTGAAATGTCATAAAATATTTATTATTAGTTTAATTTTGTATCTAGGTTTTGAAGTCATAATTTTGAACCAATTTATTTAATATATATGTTTTGTTTTGAACTTTTAATTTCAGCCCCTAGTTATAATGTTTGGGTTCCGTTTTAGATATTTTAAAAAAAAATTGGGATACCCCTATGTTTTTACCCTGGCTCCGCCACTGGTTGTTTGGTTGATAATTACCAAAATGTCCTTATAACACAAATGCATATAATTTTTAATTTTTTATAGCATTATCAAAGTAAATTAAATTTTATCATAGTATAAACTAACTAAAGAAATAAAGAAAATATAATGATCACACTAAATATATTATACACTATGGTATTTGCATATATAATAACATATTATTCTTCGAGAGCAAAATTCAATTTTGGATGTAATTCACATGCAGCGTGATTAAATTGTGAACAAAAAAAGGAAATCAATTGAAAAGAAAGAAAAGGTATAGAGATGTGATTTTTTTTCATTCTAATTCTAAGATCAATAGAAGTTTAAATACTAAAAAAAAATAGGGATTAACTTTAAAAATCTTCGTCTTCAACCTTGAAAACAATATGTTGATAATAATTTACAAAAAATAGAAAAATAAATCATTTTAAGTAAAACCGAACAATCGAACAACCGGACCCTTTTGGTGAACCGTCGTTTTGGTGTTTGTAAATAAACAAAAAAATTCTATATTTTGGTGAAAACTATACTAATAATAATAAACTTGAACGTAGATTGGTATATTTTTGTTAACAAACCTAAAAACGATAGCTATCATACATTCAACGACGATCTAAGATAAACATGAGAATTATGCGTGATAATGGGCCACAAAAGCACCAAAATTTAAAATAAAATAAATGGTGGATTAATTGTTGAAAGAAACGGATAAAATATATAGGGACTATTTCTATAACATGCATGATTTGCGAATAATCAAAAGAATAATGAGGTTATTTCTGTAAATTGGATTCCAGTGCAATAAAATTAAATGTGGAATTCAAATGTAATTAAAAATACACGAAAAAATATTTATAATAAAATGTTATTCTGTTCGGCCCAAAATTACTGTTTACATTTGAATTCTGAAGTTTGTCCATGTCAATTTGACCATAAATAATTTTATTTGTGTTATATATCTTTAGATCAAACTTACAACAATGAAAATATATTTAAAACAATCTATTCTTATATATCTTGCGTAAAAAATTATATGTAACAAAAAATAAATTATTTAAGGTTAAAGTTGAATAAAAAATATTTAAAAAATCAAAGTGAACAATAATTTGAAGAGTATTTCCTATAGTAATTCAATGAGTATACAAACCTCGTTTGGTTATAAGATAAAGAAAAGGTAGTAAAGAAAAGGGCGCTGAGTAAAGTAACCAAAAAAAAAAATTGAAGATTATAACTTCTTGTTATGCATTTTAAATAATCGATATAACGGGCCTCGAACTCAGGCCAATTCACTGAGATTGAAAAGATTTTTTACCAAGGCTTCTATACAGCTTAGCCATAGAAGCATGGTGAAAGAAAATAATTTACACAGGTTATATATATATATATATATATATATATATATATATATATATATATATATATATATATATATATATATATATATATATATATATATATATATATATATATATATATAATTTTGAGGTCACAAACCCTAACGAGACCGGCACCATCGTCCAAATTGCCCCTTCCATTTGGATCGGGACCGGATGTTTTATATGTCAAGATGAAGTTATAGTGATGAGCATATGTTATTTTTTAATAAAATTGTATTTTTAGTCATTTGAATAATTCTATAACAATCGCATGTTTCGTTAAAAATTGTTTGTATATTTATAAAATTATTTTTCCTCAATGTAACTTCAAGAAAAGATAATTCCATTTTCATAAAATTTAAAAATAAAAATACAAAACTATATTTATAAAAAACCGTAAAATCTTCAAAAAAAATCTCAAAAATTTGACACAATTTATAATTTAGTCCCAAATTATTACTTTTTTATAAATAAATAAAAAATACTAAAAACCAGAAAAATTTCGTATTTTTGTCATTTTTACCTTTTCAGCAGGTAACCTTCTGAGGTGTCAACTGTCATTAATGAAAATAAGATAGACTACGGATTCGAGCAATAGCACAAGGTTTCTTAAAACCACACGATATCACTAGGTTTGTAAAACAAGTATCCAAATAACTAATGTGGGTAGTCGATGAAATAACACTTCTCGGCTTTGGGTTCAAGTTTGGCATGCGTCTCTCATCTTACGAGTGCTTCACAACCTCATACATTGATATATGCGAGCGAGGGATCTTACCTTGTCCGCATCTCATGAGGTGTTTTGGCAATATTCTTTGTTAGAACAAGATTCACGAAATGGGCGGTTATCTCTAAGGCATACCCCCATAAATGAATAGAAAGAGAAGCTCGACTTATCATGGAACGAATCATATCCAGTAATGTTGATTACGCCTCTCAACCACACCATTAAGTTGTAGTGTTCTAGGAGGATTCAATTGTGAAATAATTTCACGTTCCTTAAGATAGTCGTGGAACTCAATACTAAAATATTAACCACCTCTGTCAGATTTGAGCATCTTTATCTTCCTGCCTAATTGATTCTCGACCTCGTGCTTAAACTCTCTGAACTTTTTTAAATGTTTCTGATTTATGTTTGATTAAGTAGATATCATCATATATATGCTATAATCATCTGTAAACATCACGTAGTGTCGATTAGCATCTCTTGTGGAGGATCTAAATAGGTCATACACATTCGTATGGATTAGGTCCAATGTAACGACCGAAAAATGCAACCAATTTAAATTTTTCGAAAACAACCCGATTTCATTAAATTGTTTACAAAAAGGTTTTCAATACAAATCATTTAGAGTATTCCCAGAATCACATTGCTACAAAATCATGACGAGCGGTACGATCACGCCTTCGCTTTGCCACAGTCTCCTGAAGAACCTGAAAAACATTAAACAACTGTAAGCCCGAAAGCTTAGTGAGATACCCCCAAAATACCAACCACATATACGCCCTTCCAGGCTAAGACCTTCCGGTCCCAAACATATTGTCTTCCGGCCCATAACATATAAAACATACATAACATAACAGAACATAGAACAGCCATGCATATCGGGATTACTGTGTGACTGATCCGCCGTATCCGGCCTTCAGTCCATCGAATCTATCCTCCGAATCTAATCATGTCCTTCGAGTCTACAGTGTGGTTGGTCCGCCCGCACCGGGCCTTCAACCCACCTGCTCCACTCTCTTAGTCTACAACGTGACTGGTCCACCCGCATCGGGCCTTCAGTCGGTCTGGTCCACTCTCCGAGCCTCGGCACGTCTGGTCCGCCCTTGTGGGGCCTACAGCCTATCCGGACCGCTCGCTGGGCCTACGGAATAACCGGTCCGCCCTGGGTATCTTGGCCTACAGCACACAGCAGGACCTGCCTCAACCCATCTCCAGTCCAAACAACCATGTGCACATAACATACAATCATATAACAGTCATAGTCAACAACCGAGCAAGCAGATCACATAGCATATCATCACCCTAACCAGGTTACCGACCTAACCGGTCACTAGCATAACATCACTCTACATATTGGGAAACGGACCTTAACTAGGTCTCCAACATATACCATCCTAGCTACCAGGATGCAGACATATCAAACAATAACATAATAACCATATCCGAATCTCAATCCAATAAAGGGTCGGCCTTGGTGCCTTAGACCCTGTTGATATAGTGAGGATAACTCACCTCGAAACTGCCGGCTGTAAGGATAAGATCCCGCTGCTCCGAACTTCGACACGAACTCCTCCACTGAACACCAAAACACTCAATTCAATATATACCCTTATTTACCAAAATACCCTTGGAAGACAACTGGTCAACCCTTGGACAAGGTTAAAGTCAACCCCTGACTGACTCTACTCGCCGAGTCAACCCCCATGACTCGCTAAGTCCCCAAGTTCAGAACTTCCCTCAATCCGCGACCTGACTCGCCGAGTCCAACCACTCTGAGTCTACTCGCACCCAACTCACCGAGTCATCCCTTGACTTACCGATTCTCGACTCAACCAGAAATTATTGGGACTCTTCGACAAGACTCGCCGAGTCTAAGGCTATCTTCAACCTACTCGCCGAGTTGTTCATCCAACTCGTCGAGTTCCAGCTCATCTTCAAGTAACTCGTCGAGTCCACCCTTGTGACTCGCCGAGTACCACCGGTCTGAATCCATACAGAAACATCCCAGGCCATGCAATTGATCCAAAACATAGATCTAGCCTCATACAACCCATCCATCACGTAAAGTGGCAAACTTTACGTGAATCCATGAAGATCTAGGCATTATACACATTAGGGCTAAAGTTTGGGACAAGATAGCTTCACTACATACTCAATCATAGGGACTTTCAGGCATTCCAACCCTTCTCCATTCCAGATCTGAGGTAGCAACCTCAGATCTAACCTCTAGACTCCAAAACACCAAAAGATGTGATCTCAACATCCCCAAAAGTGAAGAATCTAGACAATAACAGCTCAAGAACAAGATTTTACCTTCAAAGGATGCCCCAATCTGCAAGGAACTCGAAACCAAGCAAAGCCCCTTACTCCACACCTTCAAACTCCCAAACTTTCTTCAACAATTACTTCTCCAAGCTCCAATCCACTCAACAATGGTGCTTCTCCACGATTTTAGGGTTTCTAGGACTCAAGGGGGTGATAAAGAGGCTGGGGAGTAAACATAATGCTCTTTATATAGGGCTCAACCCCGAGAATTAGGGTTTTCTCCATTCAGCACCTACTCGCCGAGTCCATCTTTGGACTCGCCGAGTAGGCCACTTGACACGCGACCAAAGTCGCGACCTGACTCGCCGAGTTGCCCTCCAAAACTTACACTTTTAGCCCTTCAACTCTACTCTTGCGATTCTGGGATGTTACAATTCAATCTTTCACCTCTTTCACATGTTCCAGTAAATGGTGATTTTGTGATCTTGCCCAAGAGACAACATTCGCATTCATCATCTGTTAAATATCAAATGATTCCAACATTGCATCCTTTTGGATTTGGGCTATGTGTTTCTTGTTTATGTGCATCCTTTGTGAATATCGTTTTATATTTTTTTAAAGAAATACGTGTCTCTCTTCTTAGGGGGAAAATGAAATCCCCAAAAATTTTAAACCCCTCTTTATTCTCCTACATTCGTTTCGATTTGTTCTCTAACATCTCCTCTCCTTCGTCTCCACCCCTCACCCACCTCCACTACCTCCAAACCACACCGACTCTTCAAGACTGCACGACGACGATGTACCGGCCTTAAGGAAACCGACTCGCTAACCCTCACAAAAAACGAAAATGAAAATGACCTATAATTAGGATTATTCGATCGATGCAGGTCCCGAAGGAGAGGTTGTACTTCTATCAGCAATGACGTCCTCCAACCCTCTCTTCTCATCACCACTCCCTCTGTCCCCACTCAGATCCCACGCACCGCTGCCCCTAACCTTCTCCTTCAAAGAAAGCAACGCTCGATCATTCTTCCTCTACCGGTGGTCCCACCTCCAAATCACCCGAGACTGAAATTTTTGAGGACCGACTCTCGCAGGTACGTCTATGTTATCAGATTGGAACAGGGAAGAAATCCGATGCACAGAAGAGCAAGAAGTCTGGGAAGAAATCCGATGGGAGTTCAGGATTTAGGGAAAACATGTACCTCCCACCGGTGAGAAGGGTTCGTTGGGGTTAACGAGTTTACAAAACTTGGGAAACACTTGTTTTATGAATAGTTCTCTCCAGTGTCTTGCTCATACCCCAGAGCTTGTTGATTTCTTCCTTGGAGATCACATGAAAGAAATAAACCATGATAATCCATTGTGCATGAATATATGTTCCTACTACTACTATCTAGTATTTAGTCTCTTTTTGAGTTTCTTGCTTTCAAGGGCTATTTTTTGATGATGCAAATGGTTTTCTGTCAAGACATAACATATCAGTTGGTGTTGGTCATGATTAATGAAATTAGCCCTAAATATCCAACATTATAAAAAAAGACCACTATATACTACTTTTCATTCCATAATTGTCTATAAAGTAGTGGATACACCGAATCCTACATTTAGCACTTATAAAAGTTGTTTGTTGAAATTCCAGAATCCAGATCCAAAGCCCTAGCAATCATGAATAAAGCACTAACTCATTACCTTATAAAAGGATTTATACAAGTGATTCTTGAAAAACTTTATATTACATTTTAAATTCTAGATTGGAACTACTAAGGGGCTTATAAAATTCTTACTTTTTGTTTTGAGTGTAGGAGCTTTAGATATGGTGAACTTTGGTGCTAAGAACACCATACCTATGAATTTTCAATAGAGGAATATATATGAACACAATGAACAAGTATCTATCTATCTATCTCAGTGGCATTTTTGTAAATAGTCGGTAGTTAATGTGAAAGCCTTGTTTTCTTGACTTTTCTTACTAAATCAAAAAGAAACAAGGATATAAAGTATGATCATTAGGTAGTGGAGTAGAAATGTAAAGCCTTTGATAAATTTCTTTGAGACAAAAATACCCTCATTTGTGTACAGGTGTCATTGATGCGAACCACGATGGAGGAATTACCAAAAACAGGCATCTCTTCTTTAGATGCCCCTGGAAAGCCTCTATATGATACAAATGCTATGGGTGCTCTTATAGAAGAATTAAATAGACTCATTGAGCCTACAGAAGATAGGAAGGTTAGTTTTGTAATTAATCAAACTATATTACCATTTATGAAACTCTTAAAGCAAAGGTGCTATTTATTCATTTACTTAATTGACTTAACATGGACATGACTAAATGGGTGATGTTGTCTAGTCTGGATAAAATGCTAAATGACCATTTTACCCTTTTAATTCACTAAACAACTTTCCTAAGTCCTAACTTCTATAAACTTTCCATGGTTTATTTCTTGCTTCCATCCACCATAAGGTAATGTTGTCTAATCTGTATAAAGTAGGTGATCAAAATCAAAGAGCGTTGAGTACAAAGCTGTCCCGGTATGTAGATTGGACGGGCATGAAGGTTCAATATTCCTTATTACATGTTCTTTGGATGGAACAAAATTGGTGTCTGTCTCGGTTGATCGCAGGTCAATTCTCATCCTAACTTTATGAGCCTCTTGACTCTTCATATTAAATCATTTGATATCTTATTAGTGCAGTTCTTGGAATTAAGATGAGTGATGCCATATATATATTGGCTTTTTGTAATTGGCCCAATAGATAATATCTTGAAAAGGAAAAGAACATATATATATATATATATATATATATATATATATATATATATATATATATATATATATATATATCTTTGTTCTTTTCCTTTTCAAGATATTATCTATTGGGCCAATTACAAAAAGCCACTATATTTTGTCCACTTTTCTGGATGAACTCTGTGAATCTATTTATTCCAGTAAAACCATATAATTTTGATGATTTTTTATCACAAAGGTAAAATTTACAACAACATACCACCACCTACCACCAGTCACACCACGAGCGACCCTCTCCTAATAATAAATGACCTTTCATTGAGCCACCACACACCTGTTAACACTTTATTACTTTCTAAAATTTTCTAATTGAAATGGTTAACTAATTATTATTCGACTATTTTGTTCACGAAACCTTTAGCCTGTGTGGCAATAGATGTGTCCTTTTCAATAATAAGACAAAAGATCAAAAGAAGAAATTAGATCAAGTAAACAAACTTCTCTCTCTACTCAACATGGTGTTGACCAAGAACAACGGAAAGCCATATGCTGATGAGATTTCCAATGAACTAAAGGTGAAACTCATTATTCTTTTTTACAATGATATCTTTGCATTACTATAATTCTAACTCCACTTGTTAACTATATATGTATATATTTGCACTTGATAGAAAAGTACTAGGAAGCTTCATGAACAAACAGAAGAAATTCAATCTTTGCAGGGGTATAGTAAACAGGAAATATTTGAGCTCATAGAGCAAATGCATAAATCATATGAAGAACAGCTTAAGTGAATCATTGAAATGGTTTTCTTATTGCTAATTTATGTTTAATATTAATTTAAAATTGTAAATGGTGTTTTTATTTCTTTAAAGATTGAGTCAAGGCTGAAGGAAACAACTTCCAGACTTGAACAATAATTGGTAGAATAACAGATTGTAAGGTTGAAGGCTGGAGAGTTGGCTTTTGCTGCTCAAATGAAATCAAATGATGAGATCCGAAAGCTCAGAGAGAATCTAGAAAGGTCCCAAAATGAGACAGAGGAGCTTCGGAAGAGGGCTGAAAGTGGCAAATTTACCCTTGGTTTTCATGGAACTGGTGTTGGAGGGAGAGTTATGGAGGATTTGGTTAGAGGAGGATTTGTACAGGTGATTCTTGAAAACTATATATTGCAGTTTTTAATCTAATTCTTTATAAGGGACTCATAAAATTCTTACTTTTGCAAGGGTGTTTTGGACATTTTTTAATCTAATTCTTGAAAATGTTGGGATTTTTCATCGGGTGGTTTGGTTAAAGACAAGGTAAAAAGTAAAATTAATTAGTAACGATTTTTACATCCGGTGCTTTAATTTAATTGGGGTCTTCACTTCTTTTGTCAGGTTATTTCTTCGTGAGATTTATGATGGGCAGGTGTTTATAAAGCTCAAGAAGGGTTATGATTTTCCTGCCATGGATCCATGGGTAACCTCTCTTCTGCATATATTTCCTTTAGATGAAATGTTTATACATTTGCATATATATATATATATATATATATATATATATATATATATATATATATATATATATATATATATATATATATATAGCACCATTTGGTCACTTTTTAGGGATTAGAAAATCCATGTTTTAAGTGTTTTCATGTGTTGCCTAGTTTCTGCTTTCAGGGAACAAGTGATCCTTATGTGGTTTTGCAATTGGATAGTCAGATTGTGAAAAGCAATGTTAAATGGGGGTGAGTATATTCAATGTGGTCTCATTCTCCTTGTATTTGGCTTGTGTTTTCTATGATGGAAGATGATGTGCACAAAAGTACCCACTAATTTTAATATTTATAACCTAACAAACTTATACTAACTATGCACCTATAGATAGTGTACCTAGTCAGACTATAGTATAGTTTGGGTAAGTCAGGTATCGATCACAGGGAATGGTGTTACTAATTAATCTACTTGCTATCAAATTAACCTAATTACTAACAAGTTAAAAAAGGGTTTTATCTGATTTTACAAGATCAGACGTACTTAACTCAAATTCAATCAATAAGTAAAAACACTCTTGTTTAGTTCGAACCACTTCGTCCTTATGGCTAGCTAATAATTATGGATTATCAAGTTGGTTATTATTATATTAGTAATTTAAGTCTAACTATACCAATAAGTAATTAATTCATGTAAAACTATGTATGGTCACACACAATAAAACACAGAACCAGTTATGATTATGAATATGCTATGTAAGATTTATCATGCAAACGCAATTATAGTCATAATCTACCTTCTTTAGCATAGCTAAATTTATTTACTTTAATTACTAACTAAGATTGGTCAATCCTAGCTTTAACAATTTGATGTTCACTAAATCAATAGGTAAACAAGTTCATGCAGTTAATGGTCACTAATGCTACACATAACATGAATTTAAGCTACTAAAGAAACAAACATAAGCAAGCTAGATAACGATAAATCAAACACAAGCAATTTACCAACTAAATAAACCCATGTAAAATTAAGTTGTTCATAAGTTAGAAGCTTCATCTAGCTAAACCAGAGTAGCTAGATTCAGTTGTTCATAATAGCAACTAACAAACAAACACAAACTAAATAGGCAAGCATGTTCATAAGTATCAAATAAGTAAACTAAATTATGAACCTCTACTCCTTTGGTGTTGAAAGCCTTTTTTCCGAAACTTCTCCTCTGCTAAAAATCATCTTCTAGAAACCCTCCAATCAGCCCAAAAGTCCTCAAGTCGTAATGGGCATGGGGAGGGACTCGACATGCAAATCGAGACTAGGAGTTAGTGGACACGTGTGGACTCGCCGAGTTGCCCAGGTGCACTCGACGAGTCGGGTCAAAGTTTGACCGTTGACTTTGGTTGACTTTTAGGGTTTGGTCAACAACGAGGGCCTCTGAGCCAAAGGAGGGGTAAAATGGTATTTTACCCTTCTGAGGGTGCCTAAAGAGGGCAAGTCTGGTTATGAGAGTTATATTTATGAGAGTATTACTTTATGTGATTAGGTGGAGGCTAGATCGTATTCCTACCGAGTCTGAGATTTACCGAGACATTTGAGGTGAGTCTTCTCACTATACTTTACCTTGAGTGGTAATTAGAGTTATGTGACAAGTTATTGTATGCTATTATGTGATGTGTTGTACTGCATTATTTCTATGTGGTTTGTGTCATGTGTATATCAGAGTGTATCAGAGTTAGAACCGGAATGTAACATCCCAAAAATATAGGCCAAAAATTTCATTTTTAAATACGTCATTATAAAACCAACAGTGTAATAAAACATTTGTGATATCATGTCATGTCAAAACCAAAGTAGAAATAATCAAACATGTTATCATAAAACAATATCAGAGTGTAATCCCAAAGATCTCATGTGCGGAAAACCATAGTGTGATGCGTTGCAATCAAGCCGACTCCTTTCATTTAAACACGAAGTACCTGAAACCAAAACT